TAAGATTTTTATAACAACCGTTTTCATTGGTGACAGGTTTGTATTTATACAATACGTATACCACCATGAGTTCCATAAAAAGGCGACATAGCGAAATGATACAGAAGATGAGCAGCAACGTCTTCCTGACAACAGCTCAAAATAATAAAAGAAGCTACGGCTGCGAGTTCACTTGCCAGGCATGGCAACAGCGGCAAATATCCTCTAGCGAATGTAACTATCGATATTATTGTATGTTATGGAAATATTCAAATAACAATTGCGAGATATTCTTTTATTATATAATGAAACTAGTTTACACTGGTTCACACGTTCACACCACAAACTATAGTTCACACATGCATTATTGCCACAGACACAGACTAACTTGCTCATAGTGTTGCCAGTAAAATAAAATAAATAAATTATTATTGGTACTCTAATAGATATAATATATCGCTGTAACGTTCATTATTATTATATGTATTTTATTAACATGTATTTAATTTTGGCTCAAACTAGGACACTGATCTAACTAGGGGAAGTCCCTATAAGGCAATCTATCTATCTTCAGTAGCGGACTGGAGGCTGTAATAAATTTAAAAAAATATACACTATGTTTGTACACCTATTTTTCACTTATTTTAATTTTTTCCTTGGTAGCACAGAAATAAATCATTGCGTTATAATTATAATATACAAAATTTGACCAGCACAAAATTCAAAACCTTTATTAAACTAAGTTTGTATAAAAAAGGTTATTATAATATTAAGGAATTTATGTATGATAATAACCCCTGGGATGGGTGATCGCTAGCAAGTTATTTCTAATATGTTTTGTTTTGTGAATAATAACATACATGATTGTAAACTATTATTTAAAACAAAATGTCCCGCTGGGTTTCTTGCTGGTTTTATCCCACGACAGAACTTTTTTTCTAACCAAGCGGTAAATTAAAAAAAAGAGTGACTTTCAATAAGTATTTTTATATTCTACAATGAATAAGAAAGTTTGTGTTTCTGATGTCAGATTTCACAAAGAAACATCATATTTACTTTGAAGCATATTAAAATGACCACACAAAAGAAAAGTCAGAAGAGGGAAAGTTAGCAAAATCTGAAATTCAAAAGGTTTTGAAAAGATTACTTATTCATCATTGGATAGGGGTTTTCTGTTGTGCAAAGGATTTGCCTTAAAAGTCACGTTTGGCAGACGAATTGACTTTAACAGTTCGCAGCACCATACGTCTCGCATCTTTGATGCTTATACATATACAAATATGCATATAATATGATGCCTATTATAAATATGTATACAATATGCCTGAAATAAAGCACTAACCATCCCATTCTAAGACTTGGCACTAAGCAAGTCCTTTTATCTATTTCTTCTACTACTACTCGCAATAGTGCATTAACATCTGTTTTCCGTTCGGAAGGGTATGTTGACCCAGAGATACTTACAGCGCGTGACAAAGTGTTTTATACCTTCTTTGTATGAAGTTGGTTGCAAATAGGATTACCATATGATTAGATAAAAGCCAAGAGCGGACGCCGCTCAGATTCCAATACAGACCAGGTTATTACTACGCTAGAATACTTGTGGGTGTACAGGTCGCGTGATCTCTTTTGAAGAATTTTACAATAAAATTGTGGAGTAACAGACTTATTGAAAGCTGTTGCTAGTGGCAAAAAAACAAGTTGAAATAAATGTATATTTAATAAGGAAAAAAAAACATAATTCCAACCTACTGAGTTTTATTGCTGGGATACCGGCTGTAGACTGCGTGGATCCCCAATTCTAGGCCCTGTTAACTCTAGGCGCGTGGTCAAACTATGGCAAATATCGCTTTATGAGGCAATCTATTCTAACACCGGTACTATACAGTTCCACTACCCCATAACGTCCCGGGGGTGTCGTAAGGTGCGACAGAGGCAGACTGAAACAGGAGATGGCACCGGCTTCTCCCTATAACAACTCAAATTATAAAAAACTACGGTTGAAAATACCCATGCCAAGCGTGGGAACTGTTGCCGAATCCTCGTTATGAGGCAACCAATGACAGAGGCCTATGTTCCGCAGTGGACTTTCGTAGACTGTAATGAAACTATAAATATCTTTATTATAATGGATTCCCTCAAAGTAACGCCTGATTCTATCAATTATCTTCAAACTAGGTAAGACACATCATTTTATTTGATTGAACGAATGGTTGCAAAGTAACTATTAATATCTTTATTGTAATAAAACGGTTGGAGACAGTCTAAGAGCCAGCAGTCCACCAGTAGACTTTAATAATAATAATGTCCTCCAGACTGAAAAATTGAACTAGGTATCTAGACTAGCCATCGGCGCAGGACAGGATTATAGTGTCCAAGTGTATGCGCAAGCACAGACGCACTCTCTATTCCCTCACTCTCATAATACGATGGCACGGTAAACCGACACAACCGGAGAGAGATCTGGTGCAGGACCAACGGCTTTACGTGCTTTCCGAGGCACGGGGGTGAGATCGCCAGCTTCCCGACTCCGGGCAGCTACTGAGAAGTTCTTGACGGAAAAACTCAATAACTGATTTTTTGGCCCGACCCGGGATTCGAACCCAGGACCTTATGGTCAGCAGTCGCACTACTAGAACTACTAGACCAACGAGGCAGACTTTAATAAGCTGTAATTAAAGTAATTTCACAAAATACAATAAATTATAAATATACATTTAAATCTAATCAGTGAACATTTATCTGCGATGTCCGGACGATTTTGAGAATTAATTTTCAAAGTTATCAATTTAAGCATGAATAATGTAAAAAAAATATTAGATTAGTAAACCGAGAAATTAAAATATCTGTTAATTTTCCAACTGCTATCAACAAGAATTTGTCAAAGATTGTCTTATGGTAGTGATATCCTATTTCGTAATATATAAATTTATCTATAATCTGCAGCTATATTATGGTTGTAGCACGAGTGGGTCCGATCGACCGGGGAAATTCTCACTCACGATCAGTTTTTGGATGTATGTTGGCGTTGTCTGTTCAACTGATCAGTTTAAATGACAGACAATTCTATTGACTGACACACACGGTGTCGACCATTAAACTAATCAGTTGAGCTGACGTATATCCAAATAAGGACGGTGAGTGTGAAATCTTAAGTTGAAAGAAGCCAGTGAGTGGGGAAATCGTTTTGGCTTACATCTGTTTGAACTGATCAGTTTAACTGCCCGTGTGTGTCGGAACTACTTTCTTGACGAAGATATATTCTCTCTATAAAAACACGTTTTGTAATAAGACAGAGTACAATTTAAAAAAAAAAACTATAGTGTGTAGAGATTACAATAATAGTAGAGCTATCTTTTAATTTACAACTATGGTTGTAACCTTAACTTTTGTAGCCTAATATTAGTTTTAAAGCATGTTGTTTCGCAGAATATGCTGTAAAAGGATTAGAGGACTTACGTGTGTTGAAACTGCTAGATTAGTTTATTTCAATTATTAGCTTGCCAGGCAGACGTTGTTCTGTTCTTTTCGACGACCCTTTGTCACGTCCTATTAAAAATCCTTAAATTTGCAAAAAAAAAAATAGTGGGCAAAAAACTATCCTATCTCTTAAGTTGGACTAAACTGCACACGGTGTGCAAATTTGATTAAAATCGGTTAAGTAGTTTAGGAGTCCATCGCGGACAAACAACGTGTCACGTACACGACACATTTATATATATTAAGATTACCGTAGCTTAATGACAAATGGTAATGCGACTGATGTTGATACTATCTTTACACATGAATAAAAATAACCCCTAGGGGTCGTCCATTAATCACGTGATACTTTTTAACAACTTTTAACCCCCTTTCTCCCTCTGATGATACGTGGTGAGGTTTTAGGCTAACCCTCCTTCCCTTATCCAAAATCACGTGTATATTTTTGGTACAAAGTATATTACAATTTTTCAGAATATTATTTGTAAAAACAGGTATAATGTTATTTAATTCTGGAATGTTAAGGACCATGATAAAAATGTCCAGACAGACATTAAAGTTGCAGGTTATTTTCGACTGGCATAATAATAATAAAGGAAAGGCGTCATCGTGACGAATATATTTAACCCTTTGCCTGTCCCACGAAACACATATGGACATTTCGGTCGCTTAACTATTGTGTGTATTTCGCCTACAGGGAACTCTGGACTGGCACGTCCTTTCCACAAGCTGCTGACAATCCTCCTTAAGGCGATATAGTAAAAGAGTCATAAGGAAATTTGTCAAAGCCCTCTTGTGTTTGTATAATTTCAAGAGACTGACGCTACGAAATATATCAAGGGTCTTGCCATCATGCTCTTAAGGTTTCGGAATATATAGGCCACTGAATGACTGCAAAATCGGGTAAGGAGGAAGTAACGGGGGAATCGTTGCATGGCGTATTACATAAAAATTATTCTATTCTATTCTCAGTAAATTTAAAAATATTTTTTTATAGAATAAGGGTGACAAACGAGCACACAGTCCACCTGGTGGTAAGTGGATGCTGCGGCCCATAGACATCTACATTTATCCTGGCTTAAGAATCAAAACGCAGGTACGTTGTCACCCCTGAGGACTAAGATGGAATGCCTCGTTTCCAGTAAAAAAGGGTCTCCGGATCTCTACCCTCACCATATGAAACACAACAGTATTAAGCTGCTATTTTGCGCTAGTATTCTGTGAGAGCGTGGTCCTTCCCCGGTCGAGCCGAAGCATTCGTGCTACTACGTACTAGTAACCAGTGGTAAAGCTTGAATTGTTTTTAATAAGTATTATTTTCTTTGAATAATAAAGATCCTATTCTATTCATGGTATGGCGATAACAATTTAATAATTAACCATTTATGTTGCGTAAAATATATTTATAACGACTGATAGTTGCCGAATAAATAATTATAAAAAAATGTAGGCTTGAATCTGGTCAATGATAATCTAAATCAAGGTCAATATATTAATTATTATAAAATGAAAACATAAATAAAAAAGGGACAGAAACTCACCTGGCGCATAAACGGCACGTATTTTTTCTCGCTCTTACTCATTTTAATTTTAATTTTTCTAAATTGCTATATCATATCTATATTTTTATTTTATTTTTATTTTGAAATAAATGTCACCAGACAAACGAACCTACTGGCTTCATCACCTTGAGAGTTGTGGCATATCTCGTTAATATCCGAACGATAGTGGCAAGTGTTAAGATTAGATTAGTTCTTATTTGTTCGTTACTGATCATTGCAATGATAAGGTCAATCTTTGACGCAGGTCTCGACAACTAACTCCTCGTTTACTCTAAAATAAAATTAAGACGACACATCGAAAAAGTGGCTCCGGGCTATCGCCCTACTGATCCGAGTGAAACATACATAATTTCTATAAAAACTTAAAGACACCGTCTTAAGCTCTAAACCTCCCGCGACGATTAAAACCGTTTAGAAATTGTCAGAATCTTAAAATATTTTTTTAAATTATTGATTTAAGTAATCAAAATAATGAGCAAGTAAATTATAAATATTGGGTGCGTTTGGCAGAAAAAAGCGGTAACAAGTGCTTGTAAGCAAAATGGCGACCGTAAGTGGTAAGCGCTGTCAAATCGTAAGTAGGTATTTTCCTCTAGGACACGAAGTTAGTTTTAACCGGGGAACCTAACCTAATATAAATGTATGTTTGTATTCATATTAAAAACTTACCAATCATGAATTTTTAATAACATGTATATGTCTGTAGCGGCACTGTCGTCGCACCACAAGCGAAATACACCGAAGCCTAAATCACGCTATCAAAATTCCGAATCATAAACAGCATATATAGAACATCTCCGAACTATCACACGGAGTGTTGGCCGCTCCCCGGGCAGAACACCTTGCCCGGCGGGAGATCTCCCCTTTTCCTTCCACGGCCACAGAGGTGACCCCGACGTGATTTGAACACGCAACCAAACAACCTTCGCAAACTTCAAGCTTCATCAACGTCATAGAATACCCCACCCATTCGCTCCCGAACAGATATCATCTGCAGTCTTCATATCCTGCAAGCCATCTAGCTTCACAAGGTTCATCGCAGCACTGGAATAATAATGCTTCCTGTTCCTTCAAGCTACTCTCTGCGCCATACAGTGTTCGGCACGGCTCTGAGCCTTACTGCTCGCCTCTGCTTCACGGCACTCTCGCAGATTACTTGCCTTCTTCTCAACTCACCGCAGACTACAAGGCAATCCACTGGCACTTGCACATTCGTCGACATCGAGACTGCACTATCGACCTCCGGTCTGAGCAGGGGGTGATGTAGCGGCGCTGTCGTCGCGCCACAAGCGAAACACACCGAAGCCTAAATCACGCTATCAAAATTCCGAATCATAAACAGCATATATAGAACATCTCCGAACTATCACACGGAGTGTTGGCCGCTCCCCGGGCAGAACACCTTGCCCGGCGGGAGATCTCCCCTTTTCCTTCCACGGCCACATGTCTATTCATGTCATCATATTACTCAAAACTAATATTGCACAAAACAACTCATAAACTCTACTTCAAAACAAACAAATTAAATAAGCAAAGTGGCGGATTGTGTCTAATATTTTTTAAAGCGCTACTGAAGTTAGCAAACGTGTCCTGGCCGAAAACGGTTTTGTTTCGCCATTTTGCCTACAAGCGCTTGCTAGCGCTTTTTTCTGTCAAACGCATCCATTGATGTTATGAATATATTTGAGTGACGTAATTTCGCATAATTTCGGTGTAATTCCAACTACAGTGATTTTTAGAGGTATTTTCGCAAATAATTATGATCGAGTCAAAATTATACAATCGTGTTTTTGAACAAGCAAATTCAAGATAAAGGCGTGAATTTATCTATATCAAAATTCCACTTTCGTTAGCTATACTATTCGATGAAAGGAGGTGCATTTTTTCGCGGTGTGGCCTTAAGAGATTAAAAAAAAACTCACGATGACAACAGAATATACAGGGTCCGAGTGATTAACTTTTTCATGAGTGTATCGGTTTAAAAAAAAATTGAATTATTTGCGTTTCGTTACACGAAAGTTTTAGTTAAATTTATTTTTAGTTTAATTCAAAAGGCATTTCCGAAACCCAAAAACAGTGTCAAAGGTTCAAGCTCAAACCTCCTAAACTGAAAACACAATTAAAATCAAGTAGGTACCGGATATATAATATAACCAACCCGGTGTTTCATTTTGAAATGAAAACATTTGCAGAGAAGGTTCAGAATATGTAATGTTGCGTACAATGGTGAAGAAAAGTTAATTTAACAAGTAGTAAAATTGATTTATTATATTTACGCGAACACTACACATTGATTAAAACTACTTTTACGGATTTTATCGCGTTTATTTTACTTTTAATTACTTTTATTTTTAATTCCTGGGTACTTTTAATTACTTTTAATCAATAAAATTAAACCGTGACCATGGGTGCTAGAAAGCGCCCGAAAAACGTTGGGAATTAAAAATAAAAGTAATTAAAAGTAAAATAAACGCGATAAAATCCGTAAAAGTAGTTTTGATCAAAGTAGTAAAATTAAAAAAATTATGCAACCAACTTCAATATAAATAAAATGGGAACATCATCAATTTATTCGAAAGCAATTAAATTTAATTAAGGATAACTCAAAAACTACTCGTCAGATCTTGATCAAATTTATATGGAACCACACGAGAAGCACCGGCTTTCAAATACAAAAGAATCATCAAAATCGGTTCACCCAGAAAAAAGTTCTGAGGTATAAATACAGTCTGAGTACCTCCTACTTTTCGAAGTCGGTTAAAAAAATCTCAAACCTTCTGTCCTCTTTATCTTTTAAATTCATAATGCGTGGTAATGCATTATTTTTACTAATTTTAATGCGCACGCACTCATTCCTAAGGACAAAAACGCTGTTGCCCATAAATAACATTCAATTTGGGATAGTTTCAAATAAAAGTAAAAGCCTAATTACTCGTATTTTCAAAAACTGCAACAGCGGCATATCATTATGCATATATTTGAACTTATTTTAATTTTTTTTACATAAAAGAGGGGTCAAGAGCATGCGGCGCACTTGGTAAGTGACTACCACCGCCCATGAACAACCGCAACACCAGGGGAATTGCAGGTGCGTTGCCGGCCTTTTTGAAAGGAGTAAGCTCTTTTCTTGAAGGTCCCTAAAAGTCGTATCGGTCCGGAAAAGTCGGTAGTATAAACAATTCCACAGAGAAGTTGTACGATGAAGAAAACTCCTAGTGAAACGTACATTAGTGGACTGCCAAGCATCCAGATGGTGAGGGTTTTATGGGGAACTTTGACGTGATGTGCGTTCGTGAAATTCGGTGGCTGGAACTATCCGAACAATTCCTCAAAACAGAAATTTGGCAATGCTGAAAAATAACTCTGTATATTCTTATGTCCTAAATAAATGTCTTTTTGTCTTACTATCACCGATTTGAAACCAAATACGGGTGTGTTGACATCCGATTCATTGAGGACTTTGATGGTATACCTCGTAATTTTACTTGTAGCTTGTAGTCTACTTTGTAGTTGTGGTCTACGTTCTCTAACACGGCATTATACTGCTTTTTCACTCTGGTATTCAGTGAGAGCGCAGTTGTTCCTCGGTCAAATCATGCTGTAATCATTTTACAAGTACATACCTAATGAGTTTATAATGTGCTATTTGGTTCTAAACAAATTGTATTAATGTGTTACTACATGAATCTATATTTCTGTATCAGAGCAATGTTCATTTAACATTTTATTATTTAAGTATATGTTATCGTCAATCTGTATAAAACATTCAGGTTATGTATAAAATATTATTTATTTTATAAATTACCTAGGCATTCTACATGACACCGAATGTTTTACCGACAATGTATTAAATAAGAGATTAGCGGAATCGCGTGGGTGCAGTTCACGTATGGAGGGTATGGTCACAAACCGTGATGGTCTTACATATTATTTTATTAAAGTGACGTCCCCAGTAAAAACATGAATAGACCTAACCTACTTAACTTTTTGTGTTATATTATTTCTAGTAAGACATCCAACATAAGCAAATGCTTTCTAAAGATGATTGATTTTGCAAATCTTTTATGTGTCTTATAAACAAGTTTTAGTCAAATTTGACTGTAATTCTTAGTAGTGGTTATCTTCAGTAAAGCAAACAAATATATTTATTTGTTTACACTTTACTTTCCCTAGTCTCATGGTATTCTAAACATTATGTAAGTATTATATAAAATACCTAGAAAAGGTATGTTATTGGTAAATGATAGATTACTTAACTTTATACGTTATTTGCAATATTTTGGTAATGAAAAATGCCTTTCCTTCTGAATGTTATACCCTATTAGTATTGATATGACAGACTACAAGAGTATCAATATAATGTATTGCAGCTTTTGGCGGACTAGCATAATATATTATTGTGAGATACGCTGTTATTACAAGTGGTAGTCAATCATTATTCACTATGCAATAAAACACGTAAATATAAGAAAATTAAAATTATTTATTGAATTCAACAGAAGATGATCATCTATTGCTACCTATTTAAAACAAGATCAGTCTTATTTGTACATACATTCTTAAAATAATTATTAACAAAGCATCTAATAAACTTTTAAGAAAGGAACTTTAGGTTTTTGGCAAAGATTTAATCAACTTCCTCTATCGTAGGACCATCGTGCTGGCCGGCAGGCATACCTCCAGGCATACCACCAGGCATACCACCAGGCATACCACCAGGATACTGGATACCACAAAACCTGGCATACCCCCCCGCACCGTGCATTTTGCTCATGATGGGCGAGCACACTCGCTGCAGCTCCTTCAGCTTGTGTTCGTACTCCTCCTGGTCTGCAAGGTTATTGTTGTCTAGCCACTTGAGTGCATCGTCACACTCCCGGCGCGCCGTGCTCTTATCAGACTCGCTCAGCTTGTCTCCCGCGTCGTCTAGCGCCTGCTTCACGCTGAACACGTACGCCTCCAACTGGTTGCGGGCGGCGACCCTCTGCCGCTGCTTCTCGTCCTCTTCTTTGTAGCGCTCG